ATCAATGCTGGTATTACTTATTATTCAGACAAGATTTTCAAATCTGTAAACACATATTGTTTTAAATCAATAATGGTATAATCTAGACAGCCATTATAAGGAACATAATTTTATAGATCGCATAAATTGATCAATTGTCTTGTTGTTAGGCATAATTAAATATGGATGTACTGTACATTTCATGAATCACATGAATTATTACAATGTGAACTAAAAACACTATATTGTCTACCTGTACTTCTGTATGATAAAAGCATAAGCTCATAAAAATCACACAACTGTTCATATAGAGGCCAGCATCAGGAGATCTGCTGAAAGTCAGTTGCACGTTTACAGGCAAACAATAAATTCAAACAATTGTCAAAATTACATGCAATATGGTCAGATTCCATGCGATGTATACAAATTATTGTGCCAAGTGCCATATGCCCATGTGACAAATACCGGTACTATAATAATGAAAGAACAAATTGGGTTCATGCCAAAGTTCAGTACAGCTGATCTGCACATCTTTATATTATATATACATGTATAATCAATATACCAAAATGCCATTAGTTGTGTTAAGTTAAAAACAGGCCTTACCACCTTCTTCTTCCCAGTTAATAGGGGCATAAGACAGGCTGATGGACATGTACCGGTATATCGATGACATCAAAAACCATATTGAGTAATTATTACAGTATGACCCACTTTTTACTAGTCCCATATCCTGCTTATTACCGGTATGTGCGAATGATTTAATATTACTTTCATAGTCAAAAAATGGCCTCAGAGCTCAAGAAGATCTCAGCCACAGAGCGATGAAAGCTTTCTTCAAAATAAAACAATTGCTATACTCTGAAAACAATATTCCAGTCAAAACACAACCTGAAACTATTTGATAGTATGGTTAAACCTATCCTGATCTTTTGCAGCAAAATTTTGATGAGTGACTGCGTACTACTAATAAATTATATTTTTGATAGTGGACTACCTATGGAGAAATATAACAAATTTTGCAAATACATTTTACAGGTAAACTGTAAAGCCAGTAATTTGGCATGTATTTTGGAATTAGGTAGACACCCTATGTAGTATAAAACAAGTGTTAAAATATTGGCTAAAAATAGAAACAAAGAATGAAAACACACTAGTCCATGAAGCATACAGACTTGGCATAGACATGGATGGTAAAGGCATACTTAATTGGGTATCTGGTATCAAAATTATTTTGGATGGGAAAATAATGGTCCAAATTGTAACACCAATCTAATCAACACAATTTGCATTAAACTCAAAAAATTATTCAAGTCAAGAATAAATGCATGATGATAATAAAAACAAAGGACTGCTAAAGAATAATTGCCAGTATGAAAATTATTATTAAAAAAATTGAGAATTAGTGTTCATAAGGACGATACAAAAAAAATTCCTTGCAGTGGTAGAAAGTGTACTGCTTGCGACCAAAATGATCTTAAAGACAAAATGCACTTCTTACTTGAATGCAAGCTGTGTGAAAATGAGAGAAGTGAAATGTTGAAGGAAATAAATTGAATACATTGCAACAACTCAAATACTAATAAATTGGTTACAATGCTAACAAGCAATAACAGCCATAAAATAACAAAAAACTAGCAAGCTACATCTATAATTTTTTCAGTGCCAGAGAAAATTATTTAAAAAAAAACTAAATAAACTATTTTTTTTATATTCATTTCTATTTTAGTGCTTCCATTTTGCTACTTCCTCAGTTTTTTTTGCTTTATTGTAATTTTCATTTTCTGAGTCAATATCCGAATAAAGATACGATTATGCAAGAAAGATTATTATTTTTACAATGTATCATAGCATGTTTATTATGGCCAGGTTTCATGGGATGTACCGGTATATGTGTTATTGTGCCAGATTCGATATGTATACAAGTTACCATATCAGGTTTGATATAGAGAGGTACAATGCGACTTGTATAATACAAGTGAAATACATTTGCTTACACATAATTTGATTGAATGTAGCATGAATACTGTGGCACTGTAATCAGAGACCCTTCATGGTGGCAAGTAGGTTCACAATAAATGTTCACAAATACAAATGAAAATTTGAAGATTTTTCTCAGATTTTTTTGTACCATTATACAGGGCTGCATTTCAGACAATGATACGACTTTGTGAATTAGTATTTATGACCTGCAATGAACAAACCCAATCAATTTATAATGATACATACACGTATTTGCCCTTCAGTTGATGAAATTAGTACACTTCTACAGTCAACAACATTCATGCAATTAAATGCCTGAAGCATATATAATCTTCATTCTTAAAAATTGTCTAAAATTTTGTGATGATGATCCTCAACGAGATCATTGAAATTTTTATAAGTGGGTTGGGTTCACACAATTGAAGTACACATGTCTAATTCCTGTAGTGATTTCAAGGAGATTCAGAACACCACGAATATCAGATTACACTTCATAAAAAATGTTCATGCCCTTTTCTTAACACATTGTGATAGAAGTTGGCTTTTATTACAAATATATGGCTTAAATTAAATTCTAATTTTGGAGGAATTGAATCCTAGATTTGGGGAAAGATTGAGGGACTACCACATTTTTTGTATTATGTAATGTTTCATGCATTTGGCAAATTCTTTCCCCAGCTTCAATTTCTAGGCCAAGACATCATAGTCTCGCACTTTGGTTGTTTTAACATTTTCATAATGTTTAAATAAGATGAAAATTTAATTTTACTATTTAAACTCCACACATGTGTAGTTTAGAGATTGTATATTGTTGATACATCATAGAATTTATTTTTGATAATATTCAGATCATGTAGCCAAGAATTATGTTCGTATAGCATCATATGCAAATGCCCAATTATAAATCAGGTTTTGATAGTTTGTTCTGTATTGAATTGATAACTAATCTAACAATTTCCATTCTGCTACCTTTCCCATCTTTGAAGGCCAAAGTGACTTATGTCAAAAGGCAATCAGCAATTCAATGATCTGCTTCGGAATCTTCACAAACATGGTAATTAGTTTGAATCGATTCAAGACATTGTGTATTCAGACCATTGCATGATCAATAAATTGAAGTCTGTGCTAAATCCTGTACTGAATTAAAACTCTCCTATATTAGCTGGCCAGATAACAATGGAGTAAACTAGCCGGAAATTAAAAGGAAAGGCAGACGACTGAAGACAAACCGAATTGTTGACCCAATACAGTAGGTATTGTTTGCTCATTTCAATCAGGTCTGTTCATTACAGATAATACTCTTGTTCATTCTCGATGCAGTACTATACCAGCCCAAATACCGGTAGTGAATAACAATTTATTAAAGTATAAATCATGCCAGGGAAGGTGCATTATACCAATACTTAATTTTGGGTTTTCAGGTAAAAGTGACCTAATATTGAAGTAAATCGAGTGTGCAGACGCATCAACGAATTTCACAATTAACATGCAGTGTCTAATTTTCTTGCAATCTGTTAATTTTTGTTAGTGCATACACGTGTACAGGTCTCTGGAAGATACCACTGTTAGTCATATAACCCATTGTTCTGGCAGAGTTTCCATATACTGTAAAGTCCTTTATTTTAGCTGGAATTAATTTTCGCCGAAAAAACTTTTTGTGTGTTTTATATGGAATTTATTTTCACTGATTTTCAACGAGTTGAATGTAAAATATAGGGTAAAAGGTATATTCGCTGGATTTTATTTTCACTGAATCATTCCTTCAACGAAAATAGCGAAAATTAATTCCAAGCGAAAATAAAGTATTTTACAGTATGCAGACTAGTTACATTTTGTTTCTCAAACATTGTTAATTGGTTTTGGTTCATATACATTCAGAATTCGTATTTATAAATACACATTTCACAATACTGTGAAATGACTTATTTTCACTGGGTAAAAAATTTCGCTGATCTAGCTTTTTAGGGATATTCAGCGAGTTTTAAATTCACGGTTTTATCATTTAGATAATGTGTTCTATGCTAAATTTTACATATTCACTGAGTTTTAATTTAGGACATTTTCCAGTCAGCGAAATAAGCAAAATTAAAACCCAGTGAATAATTAACCTTTTACAGTAATAGGCATTTC